ATACATACACACACACACATACACACACACACTATATATATATATATATATATATTTATATATATATATATATATTTTATAAATACATATCTTTGTATATGTTTTCCTCTTTGAAGAACCTAAATTACAACTTGTTATTGGATAATTATTAATTACTCTATATAAATTTTTAGGTTCAAACCGCATAATTACATATGTTGTTTTGAAAAATTACTGTGCAAACCCATAATTATGAGAACCCTCTCTTTGCGTAGTTTATTACCACTGATTGGAACAACATAACTATGGCTACTGTTTGGGCGTTAACGTATATTCACAGTATTGCGTTAACGTATATTACAGTCTTTTACGTTAGATGCTACTCAATCGGGATTTGAGTGCAATGCACTTAACAATTGCTTTCTTCGGGCGGCATGCAGTTTTAAGTTTTCTAGACGGATGAAAAGTTGTGCTTGTGGTCGATTATGTGGGTAGAATCATGCGTACCTACTCTTGCACTTGTATGAATTATCTCCTTACATGCCTCCCAGGAAGAAGGTTTGCGTCTGTATGCTACTATTCATAGTTATATTTGACTTTAAGTGATGTATGTTCAAACCGGAACGACTCGAAGTGTTCCCAAAAGTCGGCAATAGTACTCGTTTCCTTATTCCACGCTCGCGAAGACACGCAGAATTACGCAGAGCACACATGTAGGTGGTACACGAGCACACAATTGTATAAGGTTGTCTTCACATGAAAATATGCAACATCATTTAGGGTTCTAGAATCTTCAAAATCAAATTCGGTTTGAGTCAGTCCTTTTGAATCCTTTTTTGCAACACAGCGAGGTCGATCTGAAGACAAATCCCCCCTCCTGGTTGTGTACGTGATATATCTGTCTGACGGAGCGGCCTCCACTACCGCATTTCAAAAGTTAATTAACGTAAGTCTCCTTGTCGTGTGTGGAAAACCCTCAGTGGCCCAAGTTAAAATCAATATACAAGTTATATGCGTCTTCAGAAGTATATCTACGCTCTGTGAACGTCTATTCTGACAAAAGTTATGACCGCGAGAAACATTTGCGCAGTGACGTCTAATTAATACAACGGCCTGTTCACGAGTGCGATTAGGTGGCGTTCTTTGTTCACAGGATATGTCCTTTCATTGTTGCGCTTATGGTCCCGTTTCAAGGCCCAAGGACTTGTTTGTCAATTCGAATGCGCTGTTGTCGATAGGTCGGCTGTATGTCCTACCTACATGTTAGCACATGTGAGAATGCACATCTGATCAATCATATGGACACCGATGTGTGTAAGATGTCGTACCTACACCCGCATATCTCTGCCTATGAGTTTGCATGTTCGTGTGCGTTTGCTGGGCATACTTGCTCGCCGTGGGGTCGCTTTCCTTCCGAGTTCAAGGCATGTATGTGCGTGTATTTCTCTTTGCGTTTGAACCACCTGTCTTTACCAATAGCCATGTAGTATGCTGGGGTTGCCCGTCTGTGTGCTCGCACAATGATATAGCCCGATTACTCATCGATTCGGTTCAGTGTATTATTCTTTTGACGTAAAATTCGACATCATATCACCGAAACATCAAGCACAACGTCACGCTACACCACGCTACGCCACGCCACGCCACGCCACGCCACGCCACGCCACGCCACGCCACGCCACGCCACGCTACGCTACGATACGCTACACCACGCTACGCTACGCTACGATACGCTACACAACGCTACGATACGCTACACCACGCTACGCCACGCTACGCCACGCTACGCCACGCTACGCCACGCTACGCCACGCTACGCCACGCTACGCCACGCCACGCTACGCTACGCTACGCTACGCTACGCTACGCTACGCTACGCTACGCTACGCTACGCTACGCTACGCTACGCTACGCTACGCTACGCTACGCTACGCTACGCTACGCTACGCTACGCTACGCTACGCTACGCTACGCTACGCTACGCTACGCTACGCTACGCTACGCTAGGCTAGGCTAGTGCTCTTCATGCATTGCACAATATGTCTACAAGCGCGTGGAACGATTCTTACACACGCCTTGCCTCTTAGATGGTCGAGTCTGAGCTAGAAGGAGCAGATGGCAGCCCTACATTGTTTCAAGGTCAACATTACGGGGTAGGTCTCTGTGCACTTTGTAGTGCATGTGGTGCAATTGGTAGTGAATAATAATGAGCGCATTCTGCACCTTTGTGCGATATATTATGCGAGTCTGTATTTCAAGCTTAGAAGAGAATAACATGTAACTACTGATGTACAAGTACTCTAGTAATTTGACGTCAATGGGTCAATTATGTGTCTACAGAAATATAAATCAGTTGTTTGTAGAAATAAATGAAAATACATGTACTATTCTGTTTATTTATATGGCTAGTTTACTTTGTGCTGCGCCATGGTTTGTCGTGATATATTTGTGTCCTTATATACGTATCGCCGATGCTCTTCCGTATCTGCGCAGGTTAGATTCCTCG